CCCAGAGCCTAAATGCACAACCCAATCAACCCAACAGGACACAGGTGAGGGGGGAGGAGACAACACAGGGCACCAGGTGCACACAATCAACGGCAACAGACATGGGGAAAGGGGAACACATTTCAAAATAAAACACAATAAACACTACATCAATCAATTGTATAAAAATGCCCAAAGCCGTCAGTCCTCAGTGACGAATTTACCTTCGTCACAATTACTATAGATAGCTAAAGATTGAAACACACAATTACTTCAAGTAGGAATTCAGTAGTAAGTATTGTATGTACAGGAGAAACATGTGTGTGCGTTCTGTGCAATGCTTGATACTAAAACGTATAATGATAAACTATTTATATAGCACCTTTCATGGTGAACGCAGCCCAAAGTGCTTTACGGAGTTTGACATTAACAAATGACGAACATAATTAAAAACAAGGTATAAACAAACAGAAATATGTATATCACTGAACCATAAAACAATAACAGTGATTCTACAAAAAAAATTATAATAGCCCCAAATTAAAAAGATAGGTTTTTAAATTTACTTTTAAAAATTCCAATTGAAGTTGCCGTTCTAAGATCAAATGGGAGTTTTCTTGCACTCTAGGTAGTATAGTATTTGCTTAGTCTGTGCTGTTGGATAACTCACTCTAGCAGCATTGAGTTGATTTCTGGAGTGAAGAACTTTAGTTTAGACTCTCCCTCGGAGGTCTTGGCAACCTGAAAAAAAATATGTAAACCATCTGTACATCATAAATGCTATATTCCTTTTGCAATAAACGTTAGAGCGGTGCAGTGATGACGTTTTCTTGTAGGCCGACCTGAAAGTTAGCAACCCAAGGGTTCCCTCAACAAAAAGCAATATTGCAGAACTGTGGTAAACGCAATTTTTATGAAATGCTGTTCAGCAGGATAATCTCCACATATCAACACACATTGTTATGCTATAAACATGACGGATGCATGACACCACGCTAAGCTAAAGGAGTCTAATGTTTGGAGTGATTACATTACTTAAAAAAAAAAGGTTCATTAGTGGGGTGTCAACTAATGTATTTTATGGTTTAGAATTTTTTTTTTGAAAAACCTGTAAGTTTGTATTAAAAACAAACATTTCAGTAAACAAACCATCGACATTTTAGCAATTCTGGGCTACCTCATTTCACTTACTTTTGGTTTTAAAACTCATTCCTGCACCACTGTATTCACAGGTGAGTCTTTATCACTTTTGGCAAACAAAATAACCTTACCACCGTGAGTTTCCTAATGCTGTCCTCCAGTCGGGGGGGAAGTCCCTCCGGCAGCGGGACACACTGAGGTAATGTAGAACTGGTGTGTGTCTGGATCTGGACCTGCTCTAACTGAGGCTTCAGCTGCACATTGATTGGAGGAAGAACCTGAGGGCGAGCCTCACACTGGGTCATTTCTGTTTTGGGACTGAAAAGCTGCGTTTCTGTTGAAGGTGCCATCTTTGTGGACGAAGCGGCTTCACTAACATCTAATAAAGAGTCTAGGTCAATGTCAAAATCCATTGCGTTGACTGCCTGGATGAGAGTGTGCTCATTGGTTGATCCGATTAAACTGAGGAGAGGGTCTGTCAGTCCCAAACCTCCCCCCCCGCCTGCGTCTGCCGGGAACATTGTGATCACAGACCTCCTTGGTTTTACTTTGTCCATTTTCTCCTTCTCTCTTTGGAACTTCTTCAACATGCTGGTGACGCTCAACGTGCCGGAAACCCTTTTCTTCTTTTTCTTCTTGATCTTGTCGTCCGATGCCAGTTCAGTGAAAGGGCTGCAAGTTGAACATGGAGAGATTTATCTTGTGAAGCTAATAAAAAGGTTAAATCAGAGTGAAACTGGATACACAGTAAACATGAGATAAGCGTGATTTGGGTAGTCTCACCTTGACTTAGGATCCAAAAAGCTGATCGTCTGCTCCGCCTCTTCTCTGCTACGCTTCTTCTTCTTCTTTGGCTTATCCTGTCCGTCATTGACTTTACGTTTCTAAAAATGAACAGTTTTGGAACTCAATCACTTAAGAAACGGCACTGAATATTTTATTTCTGGGTTTTAGACTTACTTTTGAGGACTTGGGAGTTTTCTCTCTTGCTTTGAGGTCCTCAGTCTCAGATGTATGGCGGAAGTGCAGCACGCCAGAGTTGATGTAGAATCCACCGAACTTGGTGGTAAGGGAGGCCGGCACAAACTCATCGTACTACAAACATCAACCAAAAGCAATATTATAATTTTATTTCAATAGCTTTGGTCGATACGAAAAACTTTACAACAAGCCAAAGAAAAGATGGAGAAACGCTGACGGGCCTTGAAATGTATGAGAAGAGGAAATTTGGCTAATCCCCTTTTTTAATATTTAAAAGTTGTTTAATTCAGAGTGCCATCACAATGAGTCACTGCTCCAGGAGAGAGTATTTATTTTCAGTGTTGATTATGGTACATTTTAAAAAGCCTGAAACAATATTTTCAGTAACAACAAAAGGCAGAGATACAGAATATCAAAACTGCGTCTTCATAAAACACTACACGTTTTTAAAAGACAATACTAAACCAAACTATATCATGGGGAAATCCAAATATGTGATTTAACAGACTCACAGGCTCAGTGTTGTCAATGAAGGAATCCTCGTCATCATAACCGTATCCGATATCGATCAGGTCCTGGATGCGGTCCTTATTCTTTGGTTTGTCTGCCTGCGATGAAAGGTTGCAAAATACTGTTGTGCTATTTGTATCTGATGCCATTTCTGATAAAGAGTTCAATCAAATATACATCAGTGTTAGTTCTGGTCCAATTCAAACTCTTGATTTTATTTGATGGTCCCTTGAAATGTTGACGTATATTCATTAATAATTCAGCTACTTACATATTTTTTCTCCAACTCCCCTGCAAGAGCCGCGACCTCGTCGATCTCTCTCTTCTCTTCCTCATCAAATATTCTCAGTGGGACTTTTGTGTTGTTTATCTGAAAGTTAGATAACGTCTCAAATCAACTAAAAAAAAAACATAATCTGCTCTCTCACCAACAATCACATTAACATCAGTATATGCATAATCTGTGCATGTGCAGCAAAAAGCATGGACAATTTCTCACAGGACAAACAAAGTTGACAACTATCATGGATTCAGAGCACCCAATCAATCTGATCTCAATACTTTAAGAGGAAGAATGCATCTAACAAAACGCAAATAATCTTGTGAGTTAAAAGAAAGCCAACCTAAGGAATTAATTGGAAAATAAATCTCCATATTTAAATAAAAAATACTTTGGGTGATATGAAAGTTCTGCCTCAGTTCTGCCATACTGTCCCCATGTATTTATATTACAAGTTTGAAAGAGAAAACGCATATTAATAAAAGTTAACCCAGTCATGCATGGACAAAGTATTAAGCTTGAAAAAGCGTTATGATTTTATTGAATAACTTAATTATTAAAACGTCCAAAATGTAAACAAGAATCATAACTTAGAACAAAAGTCATATTCCAGTTCAATGTGAATCAAGACTTACAAAACAGGAGCACATGTTTGCTCAATTACAATTAACAACAATGATTTCAAATAACAACCCCCATTGTCTGTTAATTTATAAAAGTTGAGGTCATGCACTTTGCCTTTTAGTGCTTTTCAAAGTGTGGTCCGCAGACCACTGGTGGTCCGTGAGCGCCCCCTAGTGGTCCGTGAGTATATTGGTAAAATTTCACATTTGAAATAAATAAATGTAAATTCCAAACTCTCGCGGGAATATCGCCACAATATAGCGAGCTTAAGTTTCACTTTCAACTGCATGATATAGCCCAGCGCAACACCTTCGTCACACATGTTGACACTTGTTTGTACCATTTTCAGGCGATTTGTAATCTGTTCTAGAAAAACAATGTGTTTTTGGATATTTGTGGAGTTCGGTGGTCCGTGAGTGTTTTTGTATTTGTTAAAGGTGACCTATCATGCAAAATGCACTTTTGTACATCTTTTATACATGAATATGTGTCCCCGGTGTTCCAGGGAACTCACCAAGCGACAGAAAACACAACCCTCTTTATTTTCCTCCATACCCAAATCTCTAAAAAAGGGGCTGCAACGGATCTGATACAGACTGATCCAGATTTGAACACCTCTATGACGTCACAGAAGTGGCGCTACGGCTATTGGGCTAACTCTACCAATCAGGAGGAGACAGCC